CCTGTTGACTTACTTGGAGAATTCATCTAGTACTTTCTTCAGCAAGGTAAAGGCCACCCGGGATGGGCATTCATTGTCAGTAATGACGACACCTGCAAGACTGTCATTCTGAACATAGACGTGCCACAGATAGTCTCGTTCTGCGACAGAAGCTCTAGTGCCTTTGGATGAGCGCTCCACAATCAGTTGACTTGTGAAGGTCACGAATTCCTGAACGCTGGATCTCTGAGAAAAGCTGAAGGAAGCCACATCGTCGTACCCGACTTTGAGCAGCACTACCTTGGCCTCGCCTTTGTAGAGGACACTGAGGCTGTACAGCTTCATGGCTCTGTGCCCTCAGGCCCCCTGCCTGCCCAGCTGCGGGACCACTCTGGGTATTATGACTGTGGTATTATGAATACCACATTGGTATTCATAATAGATGTATGCACAAGGCATGGAAGCTACTCAAAACACACAAAGATACCTGCCTCCTGGAGGGGATATTGCTCAGACCAGCAGGTAACAGGCCCTCGTATAAGAAACTAAGAGCTTTGGAGGGGCCCCTGCCTGCGCAGGCCCAGGTACAATTGTGACGGAGAAGCTGCACTTCAGCCCCTCAGCCAAAACCTGTCTCAGGTGCCTTTCATTTGATTCCAGCTGTCCTGTCTTCCTGGCTCCCAATGTGCTGTGCTGTCTTCCCGAGTTACTCCATTTCCTGATCCCAGCCCCGGACACTGTGCATCCATCCATCCATCCAGTGAATTCTTTCAATCCATCGTTCAATCACCTCTTATTGAGTTCCTTCTTGGTGACAGGCACTGTGCTGGCTGGTAGAGACATACAGATAGACAAGGCAGCCCTTTGCCCGTGAGCCAGCTCCAGGACATTCGGGTGGAAAGCACCAGGCGTTGATGAAGCAGTCAATTAAGTTTGATGACATATTCTGTATTTGGAATGAAAGATAGAAATTGGGCTGGGTTTCGAGGCTTACGCCTGTAATCCCAACACTTTGGGAGGCCGAGGCAGGAGGATTGCTTGCTTGGGCCCATGAATTTGAGACTAGTTTTGGCAATATAGTGAGACCTGGTCTGTACAAAAAATAAAATAAAATAATAACTAGCTGGGCATGGTGGCATGCACCTGAGGTGGGAGGATTGCTTGAGCCCATGAGGTCGAGGCTGCAGTGAGCTGTGATCATGCCACTGCACTCCAGCCTGGGTGACAGAGCAAGACTCTGTTTCCAAAAAAAATTGAACAAGTATTGGGTAACACCTTTAAAAAGAATGTCTGCAAAATTGTTTCTGGTTTCTCTGGGTTTCTTCCCATCAGGTAGCAGAATGTTAGAGTAGGAAGAGGATTTGCGAGGTCATCCAGCCAACCTCCTGGCTGCCTTACAGAAACTTGAAAATGGTCTCGGATTAGAACTCGCTCCTTAGATGTTTCAGAGACACAACCTGCTGTGCACAAGCAGACTTGTCCAAATTGATGTTTAACATTGATAGGCTATACTATTATCTCTAACCAGTTGTTCCACACTCTGCCTCAATCACTTTTTTTGCTTTTTGAGACAGAGTCTTGCTCTGTCGCCAAGGCTAGAGTGCAATGGTGTGATCTCAGCTGATTGCGACCTCTGCCTCCTGGGTTCAAGCGATTCTCCTGCCTCAGCTTCCTGAGTAGCTGGGATTACAGGTGCCCGCCACCACGCCCACCTACTTTTTGTATTTTTAGTAGAGATGAAGTTTCACCATCTTGGCCAGGGTGGTCTCAAACTCCTGACCTCAGGTGATGCACCCACCGGGGCCTTCCAAAGTGCTGGGATTACAGACGTGAGCCACTGAGCCCAGCCCCCCATCACTTTTAATGTAGGCAAATTCGTAGGAGCTTTGAAATATACAGTCAGGTGATGCTTCACTATGGGGATATGCTCTGAGAAGTGTTAGGTAATTGTGTTGTTTTGGAAACATCATAGAGTGCATTTACACAAACCTAGATGGTATCACCTACCACATACCTAGGGTGAGTGGTAGAGCCTGTTGCTCCCAGGCTACAGACCTGTACAGCAACTACTGAATACTGCAGGCAATTGTAGTGCAATAGGAACTATTTATATCTTCAAACATATCTAAACAGAAAAGGTAAAGTACAAATATGGTAACGTAATCTTAAGGGACCACATAAAGAAATGACTGGCAAAGTTACATAAAAATGCCCTTGGCAATTATGTATGACTTGACCTGCAGTAACTACCGGGTCCCACATAATGAGCGGAAGGTCGGGCACCCTACTACAGCTCATAATTCACATGGGTAATTTGATGTAGTTGTTAATGGTCTGCCATAAAGAAGAGTCATCATCCTAACAGCTCCAAAGCTATTTCTATAACTGATCTTTATCCTAGCAGTCACAGCTGAACACGCCCGCATGGATCCTCAGTGAAAGGCAAAGTTAGAAGCTGGCAAGCTCTCCATTAGTTGCAATCACGCTGATCTAAGATGAATCCTTTTATTGGAAATCTGGTGGGCAAAGTGACAGAAGCTCTCTTTTCCCTGGGAAATAACATAGCTTCTAGGTAATGTGTACATTATACAGCCCGTACTTCCTGGCCATGCTTTGCCCTAGGGTTGGGGAGACACAGTGGGAGAGAGAGAGGGGGAAAGGAAGGGGGAGAGGGAGAAGGAAGAAAGAGGGAGGGGAAGTGGGTGGGGGAGGAGGAGTGGGCATGAGGGGGAAGAGAGAAGGAAGAGAAAGAGGAGAGGGAGAAGAGGGAGGGGAAGTGGAGAAAGAAGGGGAGGAGAGAGAGAAGGAGGAGGAAGGAAAGGAAAGGGACAAGAGAGAGGGATGACAGGGAGAGAGAGGGGCTTCAAACAACCTTCAATGCACACAGAATGGCCCCCTGCTTCTATTTCTTTCTTTGAACCAAGAATTTAACTGAAAAAGAATTTTAAGGCCCAGTATAGTGGCTCATGCCTGTAATCCCAGCACTTTGGGAGGCGGAGGCAGGTGGATCACTTGAGGTCAGAAGTTTGAGACCAGCCTGGCCAACATGGTGAAACCCTGTCTCTACTAAAAATACAAAATCATACTAGGGAGGCTGAGGCAGGAGCTACTGGGGAGGCTGAGGCAGGAGCTACTGGGGAGGCTGAGGCAGGAGAATCACTTGAACATGGGAAGCAGAGGTTGCAGTGAACTGAGATTGCACCACTGCACTCCAACCTAGGCAACAGAGTGAGACTCTGTGAAAGAGAGAAAGAGAGAAAGAGAGAAAGAGAGAGAGAGAGAAAGAAAGAGAGACAGAGAAAGAGAGAAAGAAAAAGAAAAGAAAGAAAGAAAGAAAAAAGAAAAAAAAGGCCGGGCGCGGTGGCTCAAGCCTGTAATCCCAGCACTTTGGGAGGCCGAGACGGGCGGATCACGAGGTCAGGAGATCGAGACCATCCTGGCTAACACGGTGAAACCCCGTCTCTACTAAAAATACAAAAAACTAGCCGGGCGAGGTGGCGGGCGCCTGTAGTCCCAGCTACTCCGGACGCTGAGGCAGGAGAATGGCGTGAACCCGGGAGGCGGAGCTTGCAGTGAGCTGAGATCCGGCCACTGCAGTCCAGCCCGGGCTACAGAGCAAGACTCCGTCTCAAAAAAAAAAAAAAAAAAAAAGAAAAAAGAAAAAAAGAAAGGAAGAAGGAAAGGGAGGAAGGAAAGAAGGAAGGAAGACGGAAGGAAGGGGAAGGGGAAGGAAGGGAAGAGTAGGGAAGGAGGGAGGGTGGGAGGGAGAGAGGGAGGGAAGGAGGAAGGAAGGAAGGGGAAGGAGAAAGGGAGGGAGGGAGGGAGGGAAGGAAGGAAGGAAGGAAGGAAGGAAGGAAGGAAGGAAGGAAGGAAGGAATTTTAAGGCTAAGTTCAGTCATGCATCAGTTTCAGTGAACTATGAACTAAATATACAGCGGTGGTCCCATAAGATTATAATGGAGCTGGAAAATTCCTATCACCTAGTCACATCTTGATGATCCTGACCCTGTGTAGGCTAATGTATGTGTATGTGTCTTAGTTTGTAACAACAAATTTTTAAAGTTAAAAAACAAATAAAAAAATTTTAAAATAGAAAAAAGTTTATAGAATAAGGATATCAAGAAAGAAAATAATTTTGTAAAGCTGTACAACGTGTTTGTGTTTTAAGCTGTTTTACAAAAGAGTCAAAAAGTTAAAACAAATGAAAAAGTTTATAAAGTAAAGGAGTTACAGTAAGGTAAGGTTAATTTATTATAATAATATAATGTATAATTATTATAATAATATAATTTATAATTAATTTATTATAATAATATTCTTTTAAAATATGGAACGCTGCATGAATTTGCATGTTGATATGGTTTGGCTGTGTCCCCACCCAAATCTCATCTTGAATTGTAATCCCCATAATCCCCACATGTCATAGGAGGGACCCAGTGGGAAGTGATTGGATCATAGGGGCAATTTCCCCCATGCTGTTATTGTGATAGTGAGTTCTCAAGAGATCTCATTTTTTGTTTGTTTGTTTGTTTGTTTTTGAGACGGAGTCTTGCTCTGTAGCCCAGGCTGGAGTGCAATGGCATGATCTTGGCTCACTGCAACCTCTGCTTCCTGGGTTCAAGTGATTCTCCTGCCTCAGCACCCTCGAGTAGCTGGGATTACAGGTGCCTGCCACCTTGCCCGGCTAATTTTTGTATTTTTAGTAGAGACAGGGTTTTGCCATGTTGGCCAGGCTGGTCTTGAACTCCTGACCTCAGGTGATCTGCCCACCTCGGACTACCAAAGTGCTAGGATTATAGGTGTGAGCCACTTCGCCCTGCCGAGATCTGATGGTTTTATAAGTGTCTAGCATTTCCCTTGCTTGCACTCACTTCTTCCTGCTGCCTTGTGAAGAAGGTGCCTTGTTTTTCCTTTGCCTTCTGCCATGATTGTAAGTTTCCTAAGGTCTCCCTAGTAATGCTGAACTGTGAGTCAATTAAACCTCTTTCCTTTATAAATTACCCACTCTCGGGTATTTCTCTATAGCAATGTGAGAACAGATTAATTCACATGTCATCCTTGCACAGGGGCCATGCTGATCTTCTCTGTATTATTCCTTAATTTATTACTGAAGAAAGAAAAATATTTGTTATACATTTGGCATAGTCTAAGTGTACAATGTTTATTAAGTCTACCGCAGTGTACAGTAATGCCCTATGCCTTCACATTCACTCATCACTCACTCCCTGACTCACCCAGAGCAACTTCCAGTCCTATAAGCTTGTCCATGATAAGTGCCCCGTTCAGGTGTACCATTTTTATCTTTATGTAATTGTAGTTTTAATAAAAGAATTTTTTTTTTTTTTTTTAAATAGAGATGAGGTCTTGCTTTGTTGCCTAGGCTGGTGTTAAACTCCTGGCTTCAAGTGATCCTCCCACCTTGGCTTCCCAAAGTGCTAGGATTACAGGCATGAGCCACTGTGCCCAGCCCATTTTTATCTTTTTTTTTTGGTTTTCATTTTAAATTTAGTTTATTGGTTAAATCATGACATAGAAGTTCACTGTTCAAAAAATCATTAAAGATTATTGCGGCCGGGCGTGGTGGCTCATGTGTGTAATCCCAGCACTTTGGGAGGCTGAAGCGGGCGGATCACGAGGTCAGGAGTTCAAGACCAGCCTGGCCAATACGGTGAAACCCGTCTCTACTAAAAAAAAAAATACAAAAATTAGCCAGGCATGGTGGCGTGTGCCTGTAGTCTCAGCTACTCAGGAGGCTGAGGCAGGAGAATCGCTTGAAGCTGGGAGGCGGAGGTTGCAGTGAGCTGAGATTGCGCTACTGCACTCCAGCCTGGGTGACGGAGTGAGACTTCATCTCAAAAAAAAAAAAAGAAAAGATTATTGCAGATAGCTAAAGACCTAGATCCCGAGACACAATTGCATTTGTTATGCATCTTAAAGTTTAATATTTTTATTGTACCATACAGGTTAGTACTGTTATTGTCAGTATGTACTTTCATGAAAACATATAGTATGAGTCATTTTCTTTTAAAAATGTTTCCAGGCAGGGCACGGTGGCTCACGCATGTAATCCCAGCACTTTGGGAGGCTGAGGTGGGCGGATCATGATGTCAAGAGATGGAGACCATCCTTGTCAACATGGTGAAACCCCGTCTCTACTAAAAATACAAAATTAGCCAGGCATGGTGGCGGGCGCCTTTAGTCCCAGCTACTTGGGAGGCTGAGGCAGGAGAATTGCTTGAACCCCGGAGGTGGAGGTTGCAGTGAGCTGAGATTGTGCCACTGCACTTCAGCCTGGCGACAGAGCAAGACTCCGTCTCAAAAAAAAAAAAAAAAAGTTTCTAAACCTTTTAAAATGTGTGTAATATAAAATACATATAAAAATACATTTAAATGCACAGAATAATGGATTATTATGAAGTGAACCCAAGTAAAATGGCCTAATGACTTTAGAAATAAACACTGTCAGTATTTCCAAAGCCCCAATGTGTTCATTGCCTAACCTTTTGAGAATTTCTTCTTTTTTTTTGTTTTCAACTTTTATTTTAGGTTCAGAGGTACATGTGCAGGTTTGTTACATAGGTAAATTGCATGTCACTGGGGTGTGCTGTACAGTTTATTTCATTACCCAGGTAACAAGCATGATGTTGTTTTTCCATCCTTGCCCTCTTCCCACTGTCCACCCTCAGGTAAGTCCCTGTGTGTATTGTTCTTTTCTTTGTGTTCACGTGTACTCAGTGTTTTGCTCACACTTATAAGTAAGAACATGCTGGATTTGGTTTTCTTTTCCTGTGTTAGTTTACTTAGGATAATGGCCTCTAGCTCCATCCGTGTTGCTGCAAAGGACATTATTTTGTGCTTTTTCATGGTTGTGTAGTGTTCCAGGGTATATACGCACTACATTTTTTGTGTTTTTTTTGCCATTTTTATCTTTTATATCACTTTTTTTTTTTTTGAGATGGAGTCTCTGTCACCCAGGCTGGAGGGCAGTAGCACAATCTCAGCTCACGGCAACCTCTGCCTCCTGGGTTCTAGCGATGCTCCTGCCTCAGCCTCCCGAGTAGTATACCATATTTTTACTGTACTTCTTATATGGTTAGATACACAAATACTTACACTGTGTTACAGTTGCCTACAGTATTCAGTCCAGTAATGTGCAGGACAGGTTAGCAGCTCAGAAGCAAAGGCTCTACCATATACCCTTGGTGCACAGTAGGTGCTACCATCTAGGTTTGTGTAAGTACACTCTATGATATCCACATGATGATAACAATCACCTAACGAGGCATTTTTCAGAACATATTTCCATCATTAAAGAGATTAGTGGCCAGGTGTTGCAGCTCATGCCTGTAATCCCAGCATTTTGGGAGGCTGAGGCAGGCAGATCAGTGAGGTCACGAGCTCAAGACCAGCCTGGCCAACATGGCAAAACCCCGTCTCTACCAAAAATACAAAACTTAGCCAGGCATGAGGGTGTGTGCCAGTAATCCCAGCTACTAGGGAGGCTGAGGCAGGACAATCGCTTGAAAACAGGCAGCAGAGGTTGCAGTGAGCTGAGATCGCGCTACTGCACTCCAGCCGGGGCAACAGAGGAAGAGTCTGTCTCAAAAACAAACAAACAAAAATTTGTAACTGCATATATTATGTATGTATGTATGTATGCATGTATCTATCTATCTATCTGATGATTTTCTTTTCCCTCCGGGATGTATGGTGTTTTCGAAGAAATAATAGCTCAGTGGCACAAAGGGTCAGAGAAATTCACACCTGAAATGTGGGAATCAATGACAAAGACAAAGATCTCTTCCCAGAGAATATTCTCCTTCATGCAGGAACCTAGGAATATTATGCAACACTTGATACCAGCCCTGAGTATTGGCATGTCCTGCACCCCCCATCTGAGGTGTGGTCATTTTCCCCCACGTCTAAGAGTAAATGAATTATCATTCCCATCTTGACTGACTCATTTAACAGGAATAAGAAGCTCATATCTCAAGTAAGGGCTGGACCATGAGATGATGCATCTTAGTCTGCTTGACTGCTATAACAAAATACCTTAGACTGGGTCGTTTATAAACAACAGAAATTGGTGGCTCACAGTTCTGAGGCTGGAAGTCCAAGATCAAGGTGCCAGCAGACTTGGTATTTGGGGAGGGTGCTCTGCTCCATGGACGGTGTGCTGTTGCTGTTTCATCACACTGGCCAAGTGTCTTTTATAAGGACTCTAATCTCATTCATAAGACTGGAGCCCTTATGACTTAATCACTCCCCAGAGGCCCCATCTCTTAATACTACTACATTGGGTATTAGGTTCCACCTGTGAATTTTGGGAGACACCAACATTCACACCATAACAGCATGGTCCCTCAGCTGGTGAATAAACAAACTGAGGTACAGCCACATAATGAAATAGTACTCAGCAATAGAAGGAATGGATGAATCTCAAAATCATTATACTGAGTGAAAGAGGCCAGACGAAAAAGAGTACGTATGCCTCAACATCTATAAAATTGTAGGCCATGCAAACACACCTACAATGACAAATCGGTGGTTGCCTGTGGTTGGCAGGGTGGGTGTGGATTACAAACAGGCATGAGAAAACTTTTTTTTTTTAACTTTTTTGAGAGGGAATCTCGCTCCGTCACCCAGGCTGGAGTGCAGTGGTGCGATCTCGGCTCACTGCAACCTCCACCTCCTGGGTTCAAGTGATTCTCCTGCCTCAGCCTCCTGAGTAGCTGAAATTACAGGCACACACAATTACGCCCAGCTAATTTTTTTTTTTTTTTGTATTTTCAGTAGAGACGAGGTTTCCCCATGTTGGCCAGGCTGGTCTCAAACTCCTGACATCAAGTGATCCACCCACCTCAGCCTTCCAAAGTGCTGGGATTACAGACATGAGCCACGGTGCCAGGCCAGAAAACTCTTGAGGGTGATGGACATGTCTATTATCTTGATTGTGGTATTGGGGACATGGGTGCATATGTCCAAACTCATCAAATTGTATACCTTAAGTAGGTGCTGTTTATTTTATTTATTTATTTATTTATTTATTTATTTATTTATTTATTTTTGAGACAGAGTCTCGCTCTGTTCCAGCTGGAGTGCACTGGCCTAAACATGGTTCACTGAAGCCTTGACCTCCTGGGCTCAATCAATCCTCCTGCCTCAGTCTCTCAAGTAGCTGTGACCACAAGTGCACACAATCGTGCTCGGCTAATTAAAACTTTTTTTTGTAGAGATGGGGTTCCACCATGTTGTTCAGGCCGATCTTGAACTCCTGGGCTCAAGTGATCGTCCGCCTTGGCCGCCCCAAGGGTTGGGATTATAGGCATGAGCCACAGCGCCTGGCCTTTTGCTGTTTATTGTGTACCAATTATACCTCAACAAAGATGAGCAAACAAAAAGAAAATCTAAGCTGGGCCCAATGGCTCATGCCTGTAATCCTAGCATTTTGGGAAGTTGGGGTTGGAGAATCATTTGAGGCCAGGAGTTCAAGACCAGAATGGGCAAGGTAATGAGACCTGTCTCTACCAATGAATGAATGAATGAATGAATGAATGAATGAATGAATAAGCTGGAAATGGCAGCACATGCCTGTAACCTCAGTTACTCAGGAAGCAGAGGTAGGAGATGGCTTGAGTCCAAGAGGTTGAGGCTACAGTGCCTCTGCACTCCAGCCTGGGTGACACAGCACGACTCTGTCTCAGAAAACAAACAAACAAAAAGAAAGTCGAAAGGAGGGCAATCTACAATAATTCCTAATGAGAAATCTTTTGGACCACGCAGAAGCTCACCAGTTCTCATCGATAAATCTTTCGAAATAGCTGCTGAACTTAAAGACAATTCTACAGACTTTTGTTATGTAAAAAGACAGTGTTCTAAATTTGCTGACATTTTCCGACATGGTAAGTTGTTCTCAGAGACAAAATTCCTGGCAGATTTTTTTTTTTTTTCCCTGATACAGAGTTTGACTCTTATTGCCCAGGCTGGAGTGCAATGGCACGATCTTGGCTCACTGCAACCTCTGCCTCCCGGGTTCAAGTGATTCTCTTGCCTCAGCCTCCTGAGTAGCTGGGATTACAGGCACGTGCCACCATGCTCAGCAAATTTTTGTATTTTTAGTAAAGACA